TCTCACCTACATCGTCCACAAGGGACGACTCGGGAACTCAACTCCTACCTCGGGCAGCTCACCTTTCCCCCTATGCCCAGGGGAAAGGTATCAAGCCGTTTGACAGCTGATGCAGGCTGTCAAAACGGCTTTTACGCAGAAACAGGCGGGAGCAGCAAACAGCTGCGTCCAGCGAAGGCGCCTGCCACCGGAAGTCCCACCAAGTCATTTTTCTGACCATTATTCAGTGATGTAAAAAAGTCTATGAAGAAGAAAACATGCATCTCTGAAAGGAAATGTAACCTGAACAATTGTATAAATTAATTGCACAATCACATCCCTGCTTAGCATAGAGACCTAAAGAGATTTCTGTGTACCTTTTCTCAACAACAGATAACAGCCAGGTTAAAAGGCTATGGTCCTTTATTAGTTCATAAGCAGCTTTAGTGATGTATGCAGCATTTTGAAGTATTTCCAGAATCTGATACTGAAAGGCAAAACAAAACAAAAAGACACAATTAATAAAAGAAGATGATAAAAGGGAGTTTTCTAGCACCATGTTATAGATCAGAATAACATTTAATGCTTTAATAATACCGTAGTGGCTAGAATTCAACCCTAGTTATTATAAGGGTTGGAGTATTTGGAGAAATACTAATTATCATATTATTTGTGTTCATATACTATCAAACTTCCTAGGGAAAAGGAAAATAAAGTGATGTTGCTGCAATTGTCACAGTGTTCATTAAATTTTCTATGTTGAACTTCACTTACGGAAGCAACCATACCAACTAAGAGAGAAGCCAATGTAGAGCAACTAGATAGATATGCAAGAGTCTGGGATAATGAATGCTCAGGTAGACTACAACTGAAGAATGTGTGTGTGTGTGTCTACACACACACATGTGTACCCAAACATATTGGTAAATCCATGTCAGATTAGGCTTTCTGGAAGTTTTTCTGTTTCCTGGACTATTTTTGTGTTGTGCAGATTCTATATCTGAATACACAGTTTGCACATCATACATCAAAAAATGCAAAGGGCAATAAATAAATGTCAGCATGGAGACTCTATATTTTCATCCAAACAAATTTGAAGTTTCATTCAATTACATACTTCTGCTTAAGGCAGGTTTTTGCTCCAAAGGGGTCTCTTCCAAACAGGAGTGGAAAGGAGGCAACCTTCCAAATTTTCTTTTTTCTCCTGCTGGCTTCTCTTTACCATCTTCCACAGCATTTCACAGAAATGGCAACCCTCTGCAGCAGAGTTTAAAATCTCCACTAGACTGAAAAAATCTAACTAACTGCAACAACATTTGGGTAAGTCTCTATATTTTTTTGCTTCAAATGTTACATTTATTATAGAATGTATAGGCAAGCTTCCAATTTACAGTGACAGACTCAGATTGACATCTTGGGATAAAAGTGTAAATGGCATTCCTGCTCTAATGAAATGAAAACCATTTTATTTTTAGAAGAGTTTTACCTGTGTTGCTTCATCACACAATGGGCTATGGAAGAATGACAGAAGGACATGGAAAATTCTTTGATAATGATACAGCTGATAGCAGTTTTTATCTCTGAGACCTTCTCCAATAATAGTTAGAACCCATTCACGTTCCATTTTGTGCTAGAAAACAAAGAAAACACATAAAGCATCAAGGAATCAAAGCAAAATTACATTATCATTCTTTTTCATGTAGAGAGAATGCTAAGTCCAGATAACAGACGTGCTTCAAAAAGGAAACTAAAAAAAAAATAGAAATCCTTAAACCATATAACCTAAATTCCAGATATACTACCGCGTTTCCTCAAAAATAAGACCTATCCCGAAAATAAACCCTAGCTTGATTTTTACGTCTGCGCCTAATATAAGCCTTACCCCCCAAATAAGCCCTGGTTAAGAGTCTCTGCAGTTGGCCGCCTGCCCATTCCGTCTGGTTGTTCATGGTGCCATCACCATGAGGTGAGGCGAGGTAGGTGGGGGAGGGGGTGGAGCTGCCCCCCGCGCCCTGCACCCGCTTACGTCAGGGCCCCCGTAGCCAGGTCTCCCACGCCCCAACACCTGCCTCGCCTCGTAGCAGCGGCACTAACAGCGCATCCAGCAGGAGCCTGCATGGCTGCTGCTGGCTCACTTCTTCTGCGGCTGCTTGCTGCCGTTCGCAAACGTTGCCCCCAAACTCTGTTTTGCCAGCAGAGGCCTTCAGGAAAGGGCTCTGCAGCCCAGAATGGAGCCCCAGGTTGACATGCATGTCACACACACCCGGCCTTCGTTTTGCCGGTAGAGGCCTTCAGGAAAGGGTTCTGCAGCCCAGAACAGAACCCCGGGTTGACATGCGTAATGCCCCCTGGCCTCCGTTTCGCCAGCAGAGGCCTTCAGGAAAGGGCTCTGCAGCCCAGAACGGAGCCCCTGATTGACTCCTGTGCCATCACCCTGGCCTCCATTTCGATAGCAGAGGCAGAGAGCGGCCACAGAAGAAATGGGCTGGCGGCGGCCACATGGATGCCTGCTGGACAGGGCTGTTGGTGCTGCGAGGCAAGACAGTGGAAAAAATAAGACATCCCCTGAAAATAAGACCTAATGCCTCTTTCAGAGGTAAAAAAATATAAGACCAGGTCTTATTTTCCGGGAAACATGGTAGCAGGTATTTTTTCATTTACAATTTAGTGATTTTATCCAATTTTAACTCTTTCTTTGAATCAGCACATTCAACTAAATAAATATTAGCAATCCATAATGCCCAAAGACTTTCATAAAAATTCTGCCTCTATGGTGAAATAAACCTACTTTCTATCAGAAAGTTTACCTTTGGTTGCATGTGGATATAAAACAATATTACACATTTTTCTTATCTCAAATAAACATGCACAAGTTGCAAAGGTTTTCAGGATGAGACTTTCTGAAGAACATGTTTAAAATGGCAATAGAACAGCAGGAAAGTATTTGAATTACAACATCTAAGCAATGTAACAGAAGAAGATGAAAACAAGATAGCTGGTCATCTCCACATGAGTCTCTTTACCTCTGAATCAAAACTATAGAAAAGGTGAAAAAATCCTGGCACTTTTCTCAGCTCCAAATACTGGTGGGATAGAAGAAACCTGTTCAACTTTGTGTACATATGTTCCTCTGTAAAAGCAACACAAAATTGAATATTACAGCATGAAAAAACTGCCTATTTTCATATTAATTACAAAGCACATTATAGAATTTTATGTTGTATTTTTATCTTAACAATAAAAATTTCTTCATGCATAAAAAAATCTGAAACATCACAGATATCAACTGTAATTTTCATTTTCTTAATTTGATTTGATGTATATATACTTTACATAGAATTAACTTCCTTGTATTTTCCCTTCCACTATTATCCTTTTTCCAACGCAACCATTATCACACAGATATCTCAAATAGAGAATGGCCATTTGTTCCACATTTGTCTGTGAATTTTAAACATTTCCATTATTTTTATGGAATGGGAAAATCATAGACAAAAACTTTTATCAGGTTCTATCATACCTGGCTTCAGTATTTGCTGGGCAACTCTAGATATATAGAGTGTTAAAGGGAAAGTAAATCTGAGGTTTGGTTGTTTTATTCCATTTTGCACAACGTCCATAAGATACAGCAACTACAAAAAAGAGAAAAAAGAAAAACAACTGGAAAAAGATATTTAAAAATTCCATTTAGGAACATTTAATTGCACTCACAAAACTATTTTTCACAGAATATTTATTTTCCTTTAGAGCTGCTGGAAATAAATTGGTATTCATCATAATCCCCAACATACTCATTGAAATCAGGGCATCTGAAGATCGATATGGATGCATAATAAAATAGAAATTACTATTATAAAAAAAATATTTAAAAATTGCATATGGAATATTAATCCAAATTTGGATTCAGTTATCTGTTGATTCATACAGAATCCCAAATTTCAAGACGACAGATAAACTACAAAGCACTCTTAAAACATTTATATATTTGACAGAGGAAAAAATAAGCATTCTAAGTCATGGTTCGAGATTTGATTTAATTTAAAAAAATAACAATCCAGGTATTCTATTGACCCCATATAAATTACTGGAATAGACTGGATTTCATTTCAATCCAGAAAATTTGTTTTACTGTTGTTAAGTGGTACAAAGGTCAACTCATCTCTACCTGTTTCTGTTCTCGAAACCGAGCTGCTTCCAGATGAGTACGAAAGGAACTTAGGACATGGTAGGCAGCTGCACGCATGTTACTGTCATAGCTGCTAAGGGCAGCTACTGTCAAGCCCAATGCATTGACTTCAACAAACTTATGACATGCCACAACACACTCTACACAGCAAGGAGAAAAGAAATTGCATTTTTAATGAGGAGGCCTTTCAAAATAATTCAAGAAAATAAAATCTGAATGCTCACATTAAAATCACAGCAATCACCAGCAGAATTAATAACAGTCTCATTAGAAAAACAGTCTACTCTGTTGCCCTCTCCTGTATAAAGTTGAACCCACTGAACTGCCTTAATGTTTTCTTCACACAAAAGAATCCCTACTGCACCCTCTGTCATTTTTTGCATAATAATAATAATGATGATAAAGTTGGAAGGGACATCTAGTCTATATTCTATATTCTGGTATATATACCATTTTTTTCTCCCTTTTCCTCGACTCACTTTTATCAAGATGCATATTCATGGCCACTAAAAACAGACTAGTTATCTCTTACTACATTTTTCTGTGTATCCTGTGGTAATTAGCATTTTTGGGGGAAAGGGTTTGTATTTTTATTCGATCAGTTCATATATGTTTGTGGAGCAGTGAGTCCAATGAAAACACAACAATGGTGAGGACACAGCCAGAATGAAAAGTGGTTCTAGTTAATCTCCCCCATCCAGTTCCATTTTATAAAAAGTCACATTCTATCAAGGATAAAAGGCCTTGCTTTTTATGCGCAAGGCCAACATGAATTTTCTGAAGATTAATCTGAAAATAGATCTAGGACATACAAAGAAACATGTACAAAACCCCTGACCTTGCCAACTAGACTCAGTTGCTAATGTAGCTTTAATTTATGTTGGACACAGAGCTTATTTACTAAACCTTGGAAAGATGGCTGCTAAGCAAATAATTACTGATACAATAATCAGCACTAGAAACTGCCATGTCTTTTTCTTTTTTAAATAATATGGGTTAAAATAGTGAGAATTATTAAACATTTGCCTCACAGTGCTATTATAACCCCACGCAAAAAGAAACATAGGTCCTTTAGCCCAGGGCTTTTCAACCAGTGGTACGGGTACCACCTGTGGTACATTGGCACCTGGCAGGTGGTACGCGACTATCCTAGAAAAGTGGTAGCGGGGGAGGGGAATGAGCTGAACCGGTGGCAGCACCGCACAAGCCTGAGCGAGAGATGGCTGGAGCTGCAGGGCTGTCAGGGCTCAGCGGAAGCGCCAGGATCAGCGCCAGGCTCCAGCTGGAGCTCAGCGCTGATCCTGGTGCTTCTGCTGAGCCTTGAAGAAGCACCAATCAGCTGCAAAGCAGCACTGATCCTGGCACTTCCGCTGAGTCCAGAAGAAGCACCGATCAGCTGGAATGTTGCAGCATCTCCAGGGTCTTGTGATTTACATTCAGATGCTTGGCAACTGATTCATATTTATGACGGTCACAGTGTCCCAGGGTCATGTGAAGTGACCAAAACCTGCTGCAACCACCCAGCAGATGGGGGAAATAAAAACCAAACACCCCCCACCCCACCCCTGCTGCCAATCCTCAACAGAAATGCTCACAACAATGAAAACCGTGGACAGGAGGAAGAGCGCAGCCGGGTAGGCAGGCAGGTGTCTTGCTCGGCTGTGCCTTGGGGGGGCACTTTTTTCAGTGCCATTGTAACTTCAAACAGTCACTAAGCGAACTGTTGTAAGTCGAGGACTACCAGTACTTCATCACTTTTTTTTCCTTTTGTGGGGGGTCATCAAGTTTTTGACACCTTGCTAGGCGACTGGTGGTACTTGGATATTGCCATATCCTAAAAGTGGTACAATGGGTGAAAAGGTCGAATGCTTCCAGACAATGCAAGACAATCACTTCATATACCTGGTCTTAATAATTCACTGAACAGCTGGAGAAGAAAACAAGGATCATAGAGATCTTCAAAACCCAAATCGCTTTTCCTTTTGCTCTGGAATATATGTTCTTTCTAAAATGAAAAACATAAAAGAATGCATGCTTGCATTTCAAGTTGCTTCTTGGTTGTTTTTTCTCAGAACGTATCATGCAAACACTGAAAAAACAACAACATATAGCTAATTGGGCCCAAAGTCTCAGTTGCTGAGCAAAGCGATTGTCAACAGAGATACTATGCTATATATTCACTCAACAACTGCAATTCTGGGTCTCCCAGTTGAAGTTGTTAGGCAACCATGTGGGTCATTATGCAGAGCGCCAGGGAGAGGCCTCAGGCCTCCTGGACAGGATGGGGCAGGGAAAGGGCTTGGGCCTCCCACCACACCCAGGAGGCTAGGGCCCTCTGCCTGCCCCACCAGGGAGAATAATGATGAGAATGATGGCATTTGCTAACTTTTTCACTAGATTTGAAGTCCGTTTCTCCAGCGCACCAAGGAATTTCCTCTCTGGGGAAGGAAAGCATTGTGAAAGGCACAGAACGCTGGCCTTTTTGCCATATCTGAGGTCCATTTCTCTCCCTGCACAGAAAGGAGGGGGAACTCCTCAGTGCTCATAGGGAATCCAATGTCTCCCCTCCCACCTGCAACCTTCCTTGCTGGCTTCCCCATTAACTTTCTGGGGAAGCTGGGAGAGAAGAGGGCAAATTGTGATCACATGATCACAGGGCACTTGGCAGCTGGTTGTAAATGAGAACAGGTTGCTAACTGCCTGAAATGTGGTCATGTGATGGAGGGGAGCCCTACACAATGTTTTAGGACAGTAGAAGTGCTTTACGGGTCACACAGCACCCATTTCCAGGACATTGTGACTGTGAATGGTTGTTAAATGACCAATTGAGAACTATCTGTAAACTTAGAAATTACTGCTGCACGTTGGCTTGACTGATTTTTCTTTTTGCAAAAATGTTTCAACTGTTTCCTCAATAATCAGCTCAAAACAAAATAATAAAATAACAGTAATCTGCAGTTAAGCCCAAGGCACCTCAGGGGAAAGAAGATGTCGATGCTGGGGGAAGTGGAGTATGGTCCTCATCATTACTTCTCGATCCAGCAGGCACATAATTTCTTGCATGCTTGGTTGTTGCCATAGTGACTTCCCCAAACTTTTGCATGTTTTATGATGCTCCACAGCAGCCGGACCCCAAAGCAATATTCTAGAATTATGCCAGGAGAAAAGCATGTATTTTTATGTTGTACTTGAAGAGGAGATAGCAATCAAAAAATTAATCTGACTTATTAACAGTAAAATAAGGTTAGCCTTTGCCTTCGCTTCTTACAAGATTGTGTTTCCTTTCCCTTCCTAAGCCATTTCAAACAAAATTAAACCATTATGAAATGACATTTAACTCCGTTCGGTTTGTTTCGGTAAATTGCAGAGATGGTCACAGTGAATCATCTTTGTAAAGTATTGACTTTGGCAAAGTGTGTCAAAGCAGAAGGCTTCTTTTCATAGCCACGATGTTTTTTTAATTAATCAAATAAAAGCTTTACAATGGAACCCAAACTGTTGCCTTCAAGATGTGCTTCTTCAATGATTCAGAAAAATATGTCCAAGACAGGTGAGATATTCCAATGGTATTTCTAGCTATCCCTAATATTGCTTGTCCAGGTGCAAGATGATCCAGATATTTAAGTGCTACCATTATATTCTTGACCACCTTGCAGGAAGGAGAGATGACAAGCATCTGTCCTAGAACTCTATCCCTTGTGGGAAGAATATTTCGTAACAGTGTTTCTTGATCATTGAAGTAAATGGGAGAATGATCAGAAGAAAGGACGGCCCCGGAATTTACCAGTTCACTAAGTTTACACTGAAACCCATAGCCAAGTACCAGTATCTGAAGCAAAGCAAAGCAAAAGCAAACTGCCACTTTCCTAACAGATAAAACAACTTATTATATTATCTTATCTGTCCTTGCATATATATGGTAGGTAAGGGAGGGCCCATTCTGCATTTCTGCTGCTTCTAGTTGTAAGAAGATGGCAGCAGTTAGATAATTCATACTGCTTACTGTACTTTGAGTTAATGGCCACAGGCAGTTATGGCAGCAGTAAATAATTTAAGGGGAGATTGTAGACATAGGGACTCCACTCTGGTGTCACACTATTCCAACATTTCTTGATTTTTGAATAGTGTAGGGAAGGCTTCATTCCAAAAACTAACAGGTGGAGCCAGGCATTAATTAAAATTACTGAATTAAGATCAGACTCATTACATATTTAAACAATTTTCCTATTTTGCCACACTAAAATTACTGTTTGATAACAATGTTTTGAAGGCTTCTGAGAGACATAATTTTTATGAGGGCCTCGTGTGGCCTATAGTTTTAGGCTATATATCATGTTGCTTGCTTGATTTGGGCTTATTATGCATTGTAAACCCAAGCTTTGTACTTTGTATATAGTTTATATTTATATAAACTATTTTCTATGAATAATTTATATCTTAATCTATTTTATGAGCCCAGAATATGTGGTTTATTCAACCAATTCTAATTAAGCAAACCATAGCAAAATAAGGCTGACAAGATGTGTACATTTTTCACCTATTACAATGACCAAGATGTATATAAACAAACCTGAAGTCAAGAAGGCTTAGACCATTATTTTCATATAGTTTAAGCAGAAACAATATCTTCTGATCTAAAAACATGAAACACAATGTAAAAATGACATATAGCTAGAGGAAACCAACATTCCTAAGAACATCATCATATAACATTCGCATCTCTATCGCTGGAGATAGATGTGTGCATATCCCATTCTCTCCATTTCAGGCACTCCATACATTCAGGTATCTCACTGAGGGCTTAAGTGAAAACTAGCATCTTGGACTCATTATTGTCATTCTCAGCTTTGAGCTTTTATATCCTATCATCATCTTGAATGCTAATATTTTATGGAAACATCCATCATCTAGTAACAGTGAAAGTGGCTTTAATATAGTTATGAATCCACTTGAAGTCCCTGAACATCTATCACAAGGTGTATTCAATATCCTCCAGGCTCAGTCCACCCCATCCAATCATCAAGCCCCCATCCAGTCATCACTACTGCTACGTCTTGAGCAGCATGCCCTTCTTTTCTCAAACTTTTGCTCAGCGTTAGTTTAAAAATGCAGAACAAAAACTGAAAGTTTCATTCAAGCCCCTAAAGACACAAAATCTTTTGAAATTAATTTCTGACTGTTTTCTTGATTGATTCAAGAGCTACAGTTAAATGGTTTAAGTCAAATATGGCACAATCAATACCCCCCTTCTCTTCTACATTGTTTTTTTTTTTGTTAATAAACATCACTCTTAAGAGAAAGTTTGCTCACCTGAAACACTCAGTGTTGCCCCATATGCTCCAAGCAGCACAGCAAAATGGTTACTTTCACAAATTGCAGGGCAGAGTTTCACGAGAGTCAACAGGAGGCTCACTAACGCCTCTGAAAACAACAAAAAAAGATATTTTGCTCTTTCCCTCCCACCATGCTATTTGAACGTTTTTGCAAGACTTTCTTAACATAATCACGCTGCACAATGAGCTGACTAGCCAGGATCTTCTGGGATAAATAAAGCATCACAATAGCACCACACTAATTTTCTGCAGAGTTCCCATTCATATGAGTTAAGCTACAAACAGAACTTTCTAGTATCTAAACCGGAAACCTATAGATGTGTTTCCAACTAGATGCTGGCAGGATGACCTGGGAATTGTAGCCCAAGACATCTGAAGGGCAACAGGTGGGTGAGGACTACACTAGAGTAGTGTTGTTGGTACAAACACTATAGACCAATAATTATTTACAATAATCCCACATGCATACCTTTTTTTAAAAAAGCTCGGCATAAATTTAATTTATCCAGGACCCTCTGAGAAAATGATCTTGAAAGAATGGTGAAATAATTTGCTGGGAAATCAGCTTTTTATGAAGAAAAAGTATTTCTCACATTTTTCTCACATACAGGGCAAAAGGCACTATATAACCATATATAATTCATTTTTTTTAAAGTTCACTGACAAATTAAGTTGAGCATTATAATAATTTATTAAACTTGTATGCCGCCTGTCTGAGTCTATAAATTATCTTGAAAGAAACTGAGAGTACTTGATAGATGCCAAAATATGTCAGTGGGCAGTGAACAGAATATACAGAAAAATGGTTTGCAAGTATATAAATTATACATAGACACCAAAGAAGCTGGAGAGGAAGAGAGACCTCTTAGATGAGCATTCGTGTCACTGCCTTCTTGTGATCTCAGCACTGTGGACAAAAACAGGGAATGCTGCGTGATCATCATGTAAAGCACTTCAGGTTTGGTTAATCTCTGTCTAAGCGAGATTTCTTTCTGGTATAATATATTTATAGCTGCATTCAGAGTTTTCAGGAAAGTTTGGTCTTTATAACGATACCTGCATGACAATTAAAAAGACATTACGTCAAACACCAGACTGTTCTGCTAACAAGCTTGTTCCAAAAAAAGAGTTATATACAGTGCCAGGAGTTGATCTGCATGCTGACACTATTTTGGAGTCTGTAGTAAACAATGACTGCGATTTTAGAAAGAATAGATTGTTATTTCCCTGCCTATGCTAATGGATAATTAGAGCTGCCTTCAACTCCTCCTGTGAGCAATTTTTCCTGAACTTGGCTTTTTAGTTGCATACTGGACTCCCTAGTAGGTTGGATCAGAAAAAAATCGAACTATTTAAACTATCTTTACATTTAATTAAAATTAAATATGCTTAATATAATAGGAAGTTGTCATTTAGTGATCACAATTGAGAGTTGTGAGAGTTCACTTAGTTGTTGAGTGAAAAGGTTACTAAGTAAATTTGCAATTGTGCTTAAACTGTTGTTCTTTGTTTACAGACTTCCAAAAGTCGTAAATGCAAGGACTGGTCATAAGAGTTACTTCTTCATCACCGTTTTAACTGTGCACAGTTGCTAAACAAGGACTATCCATTCAATCATTTCATGATTATGCTTGTCTGTCACATTAACAATTAAATTTAGTAGTATTTTTTGTAGACCTGTAGGGTTTCTGGGGCTCCGGTTATTCAGATTGTCTGTTTCAGCTTTAAAGGATAATAACGTGGTGTATTAGGTATTGTTTCTTAAATTAAAAGAAATTCCATAATCATGAAGCAGTTCTGCATTCAGGCAGTTGTGATATTTCATAGAAATTGATACCAATACATCCCCATGGCCACTTCTATAAATATTTAATCTCATATTCACATTACTACGAAGTGACGAATTTTAGTGGAACCTGTACTTTTTTCAGGTTGATTGAATTAGTGCAATCTAGTTCTTCATCCTATGGCTGAAGAATTAGGAAACAGTAGATTTCTCCACATCAGGGGTAGGCAACCTTGGCTCTTTTATGACTCATGGACTTCAACTCCCAGAATTCCTGAGCCTACTCCCGCTCTACATGTATATAATCTGTGCAGTAATTATTCTAAATACACAGAGAGGGAGAGAGAATTCAGTAAAATAGCTTGCATAATCAAAAACATTTCATTTGTGTGGAACTAGGGAGCATTTAGTACATTAAAGCAGTGCGCTCTCAAAACTTTTTCAGCTTGGCTATCTGAAAAAAGGCATCATTGCTATAAACATAAATATGCTTACTTTAGCCCCAGCTTCACAAAACTATTCCAACTGTCTGGAACCACTTCAGTTACTGAATTCTGGATAGACAAGAAATAGTAATATATCACATACCGCAATATAATAAAGCTTTCAGAACTTGTTTTCTAATTGGGCTGAACTAGAAAGAGAGATCATTCAAAATGAAGCCTCTGCACTCTATGTACAGAGTAGTCCCATCCTTTCTTCATAAATTCAACGCAGCAAACTGACAAATAGTAAAAATTTTGGCTCCATACTTTTTTTAAAAAAAGTTGTGGATTGGCTCCTATGAGCCAATCTATCATTTAAAATAAAGTTTCATGCGAATTAAATCTCCTTCCATGATTACACATTTTAATATGGAAAGTACTGCTATAGAGAATTTTAATGTGGTATGAAGGAGTTTGTAAATAACGTTAACTATAATAGCACATTTCTATTTGCTATTTATCTCTATCTTTTTCAATCTCATGTTTTCATAATTAAAATATCATCAAATCAAACTTCTAAATAGTTGCTTCTTAACAGAAATGTATGAAAGGTTAGAAGGTTAGCGAGTACTAAAAGTATAGTACTTTTTCCTTGAAATAGAATGCACAGCTATAGAGGAAATTGGTAACATTTAGAAACCTGGTCTGGAGTAACCATAGGATGGGTCCATGCTCTCCAAAATTCTAGCAAAATTGAAAAACTAGCATTTACAATTATTTGTATACCTATGGACCTATCAATGGATATACACTTCCTAATAAAAAAAAATATGCTGAAATATATTGCCCCTTTCAGCATCTTTTTATGTCTGACGCTCTACCATTTTTTAATCAACTAATGTACAAATGAGTGGAAAACCCCAGTCCTCACCAATAAGGCTTCTAGCTTCAATAGCATGGTATTCTCCACTTCTGAATGTGTTTCTTGCTCTTGGCTACTACTGAAGGACAGGATTAACCACCTCATACAGGTAAGTAGTAGATGTTTCCTCCATGAATGCACTTTTTCTACAGAGGTCTCCAGCGCTCTTGATACAGCATCAGCAATTATCCACCTGGAGAGGGTTGAAAAGAGTAGCAGAGCAATGTCTTAATTTCAATTTTCCACATATTCTCAACCTTCCCCCATTATACAAGCTCAACATAACTACAGGTAGTCCTCAACTTATGACCACAATTGAGCCCAAAATTTCCATTGCTAAGCGAGTAGAAGGCTGCAACGTGGATTGGGCCACATGAGGAGAAAAAAAGTGGGCTTAGTTTCTTAAACTATTATATATCTACATTAAACTTTATGGTTTTCATCCACTTTTCACTTCAAAATACCAGACTACAAAAAGAGGACTCTGAACATCTACTCTTGTTTTAAAATAAAAATAATTACTAAATGGCTCACATGTATAATTCTTTCACAAGTAAAAATTAATGTAAGCTTACTGTTCGTGATTTCCAGGTCTCTCAAGAGTTAGAGTTAATTTTTCAGTTAAATCAGTGAAGGCCTCCGTATCGGCTAGTGGCAATAACTTGGAAAGAACGTGATATTCCATAACAGTTGGTTGTGATGAATCCACTTTCAAAAGCTTATTCAGCAGTTCTGGCCATAAAGCTTCTCTCAAGGCAGACTTAACAGCTGAAAACAATGTACAAAGTCAAAGTATAAAGGAACAAGTCAACATTTCCAAAATTTAGGGGATTATGTAAGTACCAGGGCCCAGGAAGAGCTTCTTAAATATAGACTATAGAATAGTCTAGAATAGGATTTCTAGCCAAGACAGAACTGTTTCTGGAGAAATGCTTATCTGCTTGGAAAGAAGGTCCACACTACCACACAAAAAAGCTAACAGAATAAGATCTAGATAAATGCTTCTTGCATCATTTATCCTAGGCAATATTATAGAAACACAAATCTGCCTGGCAGATGGCTTCAAAGCAAGAAATGCAGAATAAAATGTTCAAAAAATAAAAGCCTAACGTATTATTCCAGAGGCATTCATAACATGGTTTAGTGTTAAAAAAATCAGCTGGCATGATTACCTTTTGATAAGTGTTTGAAACGTTGCTTCTCTTGACAGTCCAAATACACATTGACAAGGGGCATAACAAGAGCGGCATTCATTTTTAGAAATTTGCTTGTACTACTCTTCAGACACCAAAGCTCAAAATGTAGCAAATGAGTGTGGGAGTGCTGAATCAATAAAGCTACAATAGAAAGGGAAATTTCTGTTGAACGCTTAAGGCACAAAAGCTGCACATCAGGGTCAACTGCCTGGGCAAAGATAGGTTCTTTCTGTATCACACACATAAAGGCCTTTTCCAACTCCTCAGTGACAGATGCAGACAGCAGAATACTCATCCCTTGAATGTGCTCTCTTGAAAAAAAGGAGTCTCCTTTCAGGGAACCTCTTTGGTAGCCATCGGTGAGCAGCTGCACCAAGGTTTGTCCATAAATGTTCAGACAGATTTCTTTTCCAGAAAAAATTTCAGATTTTGAAGTAGCTAGGTTGGCCTTGCAAAGTTGCAGCATGATTTCTTTCAGTTGGTCCATATTCATATAAATATGCAGTTCTTGCAAAGCCTCTATCTGCAGAGATTTTGGGGGAGATATTCTGCATCCTTCTTTTGTACCCGCGTGCAGCTCTTCCAAAACAGTTTTTGTGATGGCTTCAAAATACTTGCAAAGTATATCTAGCTGATCCCTAGGTTGCAATAATGGGCAACTCGTTTTCAGCAAGTCAAGAATGCTGCGATTTAGATGACTTGAAAGCAGTTTTACTTTAACTGGATTAAGACTGTGTGGAGGAAGGGAATGTTGTTCTATAGCCAGGAACCAATTTTCCAGGATAGGGTGTTTGAAGACCAAAGAGAGCATCTCTTCCATGATCTACAACAGAAACAACTGCAATAAGAGACTTTGTCTAATAATCGTAAGATCTGTACTGGATCAGATGCACTTCAGCGTTGCTCTTCACTCTTGCTAACTAGTTCCCTGGGAAAATTCACAACAACCTTATCTAATACGATTAAGAATGGGATCTGAAAGTTTACACCCGATAGTACACTCAACCTGAGTAATACAGATCAAACTGGAAAAGAATATTTCTCAAAAGATTTTGAATGAAAAATTGAGGAAAAATAGTTCCACAAAAGAAGAACTAGTTTTAAATAGTAAATGTTTTACAACAAAACCAATTTCCAAGGAAGGTGGCTCTTCACTGGATATGTTGAAATGGAAACTAAACAGTTGTCAAGGATGCTTTAATCTGGATTTCTGGACTGAGATGGGTGTTGACACAATGGCTTATATGTCCCCTATCATTCTATGATTATATAAAACTACTTCTGGTATTTCACCATATATTGACCAACAATAAGCAGTGTATAAACAGTTTCATTCTTACTGGAATTCATTATAATCAACTTAGATCTTATATGGCAGGTTTTTTTTCTCTCTCACTGTACTCAGGATATAGTTACCGTACTCATGACTCATTTTAAGCAACAAAAAAACCCTCTCTCATGGATATTGTCCATGTAAAGGCACAGTATCTACACAGAAAAATTAGCACCTTTTCATTCTCAGAGTCTTGAATCAAAATTTCTGCTTCCATAAAAAGTTCAGGTTCAATCTGGGTATTTTTCTGTTCAGGCTGACCACGCAATTCTGTATCATCACCTTTGCGCAACAAGCTCTTCAACAAATCCATGTAGAGAGTAACAAGGGAAAGGCCACAATTTTTGCCCAACTGTTGGAAAAATGATAGACATTTTTAAGTGGAAAAAAAGGGGGGGATTGAGAACAAAACACCCCGATTGTATATTTTATCAAAGGGACATATTAATTATCATATATAGGCTTCATTTATTTGTTTTGCAAATCCATGCAATGTACTTTACACCTCTATACAATGCTTGCAAGTGGACACTACTACAAGGATGCATCTTGGAAGCATGAATCAAGAGATTATATGTATTTTTTTAGCTACATACAGTACACCTGTTTCAGAAAATGCATGGTTGCTGCCATCTAAGGTTGAGATGGTCTTTAATGAAAGGAACCATACATAACTATTAAAGTTGCTTTCAAAGAAACAGGAAAAAAAATAATAGCTCACACTGCCGAAGTTCTCCACACTGGTTTTTAGGTACAGAAGAACGTGTTTTAAAGCCAATGAGAACTGCTGAGGTTGGAGTTGGGAAATAGCTTCATTTAGCTTTGTTTGAATATCCTCTTTCAGTAAAGCAGCAGCACCCTTCTGATAGCTATTCTTTAACAAGGTAAAAAAGGAGGAATCTGATGACCACACCACATCCACACTGTTGCTCCTGTCTTGCTGGAACTGAGAAAGAACAGAAGAAGACACAATTACATATATGTAAAGGAAACAGTTTGCACTCCAACACTTTTTACCTAAACAGAAGAAGCTTGGAAGAGCTAAACTGCCTGCAGGAGGCTTTTGAAATTAGGCAAAGAAATCCACAAAATGGAAGGCTTTTATCAAATGACAAAAGCGCCATTGAAATACAAATTCACTTGTGTGGGGTTTCCCCCCCCCCTCCCATTCAGTCATGTCCAATTTTTGGAGACTGCCAGAACAAGTCCATGCAGTTTTCTTGGCAAAGTTTTTCAGAACTGGTTTCCCATTGCCTCATTTCTAGGGTTGAGAGAATGTGATTGGCTCAAGGTCACCTACCTGGGTGGGACTAGAATTCTAGCCTGATGCCTTTACCACTATACCAAATTGGTTCTTTAAAACTTGTGTACACACATGCAGTATCACAAAGCATATACACCAAAGGAATGGAGGTGATAAATTGCCTCATCTTTTTTCCACTCCCTCCAAAGAGCCCTGAAATTAAGGTCAAGGTTATGTGAAATTAAGTTTTGATTGCTAGACTCTGTTTTGGATTAACTTTTCAGAAATGTTTGCTTTCCAATTAGCTTTTAAAGGAATTACGTGCTCTTATATCAAAATCTGTAACAAAACACATTTTGCTGTACCAATAGAGGAGAATATTGTAGCTCTGGGTTGAAATGTGGGGTGCTTGGTGCTCTCTGAGCTTGATTATTTTGATGATGAGCATTGATGATGTTATCTAGTTTGGTAATGAAACGTCTGAAAAAAAACAACCAAGCTCAGAGAGCACCAAGTACCTCACATTTTTGTTTTAAACTACACAAGACTGAGTATTATTTTGCTAGGAAAATCAGGTATAAAAAACAAATCAAAATAATCTAAAAGCAATTCCATGGACAGGAAGAATTGTTTACTGAAAAAAATAGGGCTGATTTAGCCTGTTTTTCCTGCTGCCAGAGTTAAATGAGCTCAGCTATAATAATGTGTTGAAAAAAATATATCAGACATCCGTCCACTTTTCATCATGCAGTTCCACTGGTGATTAAAAAAGATGCATCAAAAAAGAGCAAGCTAACAGAATGCCTGGATTTCAAATTGTATAACTAAATGAATGAAGAGCATGCTTTGCTATGTATTATTCCTCTAGGTGTTATAATAATAATAATAATGATAAAGTTGGAAGGGACCTTGGAGATCATCTAGTCCAACCCCCTGCTCAGGCAGAAAACCCTATACCATTTCAGACAAATGGCTGTCCAGTTTCTTCTTAAAAACTTCCAGTGTTGGTGCATTCACCGCTTCTGGAGGCAGGTTGTTCCACTGGTTAATTGTTCTAACTGTCAGGAAGTTTCTCCTTAGTTCTAGGTTGCTTCTCTCTTTGGTTAGGTTCCATCTGTTGCTTCCTGTCCTGCCTTCAGGTGCTTTGCAGAAGAGCTTGACTCCCTCTTCTTTGTGGCAGCCCCTGAGATATTGGAACACTGCTATCATGTCCCCCCTCGTCCTTCTCTTTGTTAAACTAGACACCAATTTACGCTGTTTAGTATACATTTTGGCTTGCTTACCAAAGCTTCCTTAGCTTGTTGTGGTATACAAAGTTTATAGTAATAGATGAACTGACAAAGCTGAACACTGACAGACTGAAGTTCTTTATCATAGTGTTGAAACATCAGGCAAAGGGCTAAAGGATCTCGTTGAGAATGCAGGAGGTCCGTAAACACAGCAATGAGATATTCCACAATGCTTTCTTCTATAAAGACAAAACAACAACTGTAACAAAACTAAGATTAAATTCTTGCAGTTTCTGAAACTGAAGTCTTCAAAGCCTCATTCAGAAAGCACCTTCAGCAAACTTCTATCAGGAAGGTTAAAAATTGCATGATTATCTGTAGAAAAAAGCATAATGTTTAGTTTTCACAATAAAAATCAAACAGCTTCTTGATTTTGATTGTGCAAATTGAACATTACATTTTCCCCCCCACTTATACAAGTTCCCCTATTAAGTGTGCTTTTACAAGAATTTTTAATATGTTAAAACTGCATTTCATGAGAAAGCTGATTTTTCTGGGGAAAGCAGGATAGCAATTACAGAAAGAAGCAAAAAATACCTCTTGCGTTTTCATCAACAAATAACTTATTTCTTGCTTCTAAAGAAGCTGGGACGATTGCACTGAATGGAAACGTGTTCACAACCATGTCTTCACTTAAAGTACATCCAATTTCTTCATTTAAACTTTCACTGTCTTCCACAAGGACATCAATCATATCCAGAACATCTAGTTTAGTAAGGAAAATATTTACATAAAATATATATTTGTACGAGGTGAGCAGCAAAGGAGGAAACCATCTAAGGAACGAGATTGCAATCATTAATTTTATGGAAAGAAAAGAACATGTAGTATTAGAATATTCAATATGAATATGGAATCGACATAGCTATCTTACAATTTTTTTTAATTTAAATTATAAATTATGTTTATATTTTAATCTAATATGGCAAGCAGTGACCATTTAACAATTAACATTTCAAATTTTATTTAACAATTACATATTTTATAGTAACATGCAATATTATTTATGTTATTATTTATGAAGACAATTAAGAATATATATTTTACAATTTCTATTGTAGAACAATTAAAGCAGTTGGGATTGATTGAAACTTCAGGGAAACCCACATTTGAAATCAAGTTTATTGAGACCCCATCTGGTCCACTAATTTAAATGAAAATCTATTCTAATTTATCCTACTTTGCTTTGGCCAAATCCAATGCATGTTATAGCTCCCATTGGTGCAAAAACAATGCAACAGGAAAAAGAGCATTTTATGATTCTTCATCAAGTGTCACGTGGAAACCTGAATATGGTTGCTTACCAAAGTTTGGAAGAAGCCTTGTAAAAATAAATGCGTGGGATCTATGTTGCCAAAGGCTAGCTAATGCACAAATATCTTTTTTTAATCCAGAAAATCCCACGAATCTGGATCAGTAATTGCTCAGAAGCATGAAAATGAAACTAAAACAATCCTAGTACATATGCAGTATATTAGTTAATGGCTTTACTTTTATACAAGATTATATAATTGGTGGCCTCTTTTTTAAAATGTTGCTTTTCTGTAAATTTCCAAGAATATTAGCGCTAGATTAGTAGAATGGCTTTGAAAGAATCGGGTATACCATCAATATGAGAAATAGGTATGCTGACATTATCAACATCTTGTTTAAATAAGTTGATCTGAAGAATGCTTGCTTCTTGAACAAAGTCAGCTGCTTTATCTGTATACGGATAAGGGTTGGTTACCACTTTGACCAAGACCTAGAAAAGGGAACAAGTATTTATTACAAGTGCTTAAACACAGGATTAATAGAAAATAATGCATTTGAAGTCAGTGTAGTATAGAGAATAAATTCTTTAATCCTCTAAAGGAGAAATAGGATGTTTTTTCTGTACCAAAAAAAAATAAAATCCCCCATTTTTTAAAGATATTGCAGTAGTATTATGTGTTGGATGTAAAACCAACTGATGCATGTAACTCAGCTGAATGAAAATACAAAGAAAGCAGTCAGCTTTCAGAAACCCATATTTATATGAACTTTATTCTTCAAATAGATTCTGCAATGCATACTGCAGATTTTTTTTTGGCAGAAGTTTATATCAACCAAAATAATTCCCTGAAAATCTTTTGAAAGATTCTACAGCCCAATATATTTTTATTATCAGAACACAATTTAACCCAGAAAGGCAACACTGATAAACCAAATTGGATTGTGGCATTTTAAGGTCTAAATGCCCATATATCACTTCATGAGGTTTTGATTCTTTTTTCACTGCAATTACTAAACTATAATTAGATATAAGTTCATACATTATACTAACTATAAGTAAGTAGCTTGGTTACACTTTACTGAACTGAGCCAATTTAAATCAAATCACACTGAATATATTTAATAAGTCATGGTAAAAACAAAGGGGGGTTAAGTGTGATTTGTGAACTGAGCTGTAATAGCCCTACATATGCAAACTCATTTCATGTTCTGATAATCCTAAGTCTTAATTAAATATATTACAGCAATAAAGACGAAGTGTATATTATTACTGCTATTATTATTTCCCACTCTTCCTTTTACATATATTATTCTTGAATATTTGGGGTATCTTTGAAGATGGCAATTTATTTTTAGTCATCTTTAATCATTAATTAGGTCTAGAAGAAAAAATGAGCAGATTATTTATTATTCCTTAGTAAAAGGCAAAAGATTTATAAGATCTGAAGAGAAGTCAGAGTACTATTATTCTTAATCAGTGAGCTGTTTGAGAAGTAATCGTTCAGGGCTGTATTATGTCTTTCCTGCATGTCAAATTTAATTACTGCTTTCACAAGAGGGAGGAAGTAATACGTACATCAAAAATGTCATTGGGAGAATGAAGTCAAGGTTTACATAACGTGCCATTCTTTCCAATGTCCTTTGCTAACTTTACCACATAAAGCAACATCATATGGATAGCAAAAGAGAGCTCACACTTCTGTCCCTTAATATGTAAATCTCTAATAAAGCCTTTGTTTATCTCATTTTCTTTGTACCATTTTCCCAGACTACAAAATGTCATTCAAAATTTTTGAAAAATTTTGCTTTTACTAATAATATTCTTGGCATTGTTAAACTGATTAATTAGCATATTGTTTACCCTTTCCAAAAACTGAATCACGATTTCCTGTTTGGCTTCAATTGTATTATCCAAATGACTGAGCCACAATTCAAGTTCCTTCCCAGTGTACTCAAATACTCCACTGTCATGCAAAACCTATTAAGAAAACAAGTATTATACATACATTTTAACTGCTATTTCTGTAGAGCAACTTTTTACAGACTGCTAACAAAAGCTGATGGCAGATTAGTCATTTACCATGACCTTTTCCATAAAAGTCTGCTATGCTTTGCTAAAAACAAATTTATTGTACTGTAATACAGATTCTATTAAAGAAGTGTGAAAGCCTTCTGCTTCTCTTCTTTCAGCATTTTACATTACCTATATCATTTCAGAAAATTAATTTTTAAAACAGTTTCTACAGTGTTTGTACCAGTAATTAATGCAAACTGCAACTGCAATCTCTAAGATAGATGCAAAAGCAATGTTAATGACCAACAATCTTAAACATATATAGCTTTCACACATGCATCTCTATTAGAGGATTGTATGTGCAATCGGGTTCCGCACAAGCATTTCTTCAGCCCAGTTCAATATCAACAGCATGCAGACTGTTACTTGTTTATAGCAAAGCAGCTGTTGCATGTTAAGCAAGCAATGTTTACTTTTCATTTATAATAGATAGCAAAATGAGTCATCTGAATGTTTATAAGGACTTAGCTCCTATCTTTAGCATCTAGTTTTCAGATGGCAGACAGTGGGAAATAATTACTATCTCCCCTCCACATCCAGAGACTGCTGAAAAGAAAACCTCAAATTCCCAAAGGTTCACCACAAATGCATCTTCCAGTTTTAGTTCAGTCCTACAGAACATTCTGTATATTACTCCATGCTCTGATCCAACAGCTGTGCAAATGTTAAATGTTAAATGCAGGTTTGCTAATCAGTCTCACTGCCACTATACAATTGAAACAACTCTTGGCAAGCTAAAGAAGGCATTCATAGTTTGCCACTTTCAGTCTATGCAAACAATGGCTCCTGAAAGATGGCATGCCAGCATTGTACAGGAAACAAAAGTTGGCATCCGTGGAGCCAGCAGGGTGGAAGCTTCCCACATTATTTAATTTTTTTTGACTCACTTGCTGAAAGAAACCCATTAAGAAATAAACTTGTCCCTATTATGGATAGAACAATTGATAGGAGAGCGTATTACAAAATGGAGGATGCTCACTAAAATGTAAACGTAAGGGTTGCATGTGCTGATACGTACTAAAGAGAGGTATAGTTTATAAAAGCAAATATTTTGTTAAATGGATATGATGAATGCAGAATAAAGAAACTTGAAGACGTCCTTGTTGAAGTTATTCTGAAAATTTTTTACTTGCTTAAATGCATAAATAACTGGTTTCACATATCAAACTAAGTTATCATCTAATTTATATGTTTTTTGTAACATGTGAACCTAAAATAAGATTTAATATAAGGTATACATCTAGCCACTATTGATCATTCAGCAAACCACAGTTAAAATAAGCTATAGATTTGCCTGATATTTGAACCCAGTCAGTAACTATATACTGCTCCAACGGTTATGGACTCTGGTTGGGAACAATAAAAGTAACAAACTAATTCTTTGCCAAAAATAGTTGAATTAAAAAATAGTTAAATTGAAAAAGTAAAGGCAAAGCCTTTTCTTTTAAACAGTCCCAACAATATGTCATTTTTGTTATACTGAGACTGCAAACATTTATCAATTTAATTAGTAAGTTAACAGTCCAAAATATCCTAGTAAGTTCCATGGAGTTCACCGGAATTTAGTTGGGTACAGGGCCACAATATCTCAGCTGAATTTAAAAAAGACTTTGACTTGTCATGTTTGTGATATTTATTTATTTTTCACACTTTTTAATTGCCCATCTCCCTCAGATGGTTTTTAGCTCTACTGCTTCCTTTCTTAAGGCTGCAATCCTAAGCATATATTAAAAAAGGGCTACCATTTAATTAAGTGAAGTTTATTTCTGAATAAACATGCAAGACACTAAAAACATAAAATATAGCCTTCATATTCAAACAAATAGTAGCTTCTATTAAGAACTTATCTCATATTTCTTTCAATATAATCAAGAAGCCCTATACTGCAAAGTTACTTAAAAATGTCTTCTAAACTACTGAAATTAAGAAATGAACAAATCAAGGTAACATTTAAAAACTATTCTTTTGGGGGGGGAATTTAAAAGCCAATTGTGAGACTAGAAAGGGAGAAGAAATACAACATCCTTCATAATTGAACTTGCAATAAAAAATGTTTTTGAATTAGTGAGCAGTTTCACAAGTACTCAGTGTTCTGGACCAGAAGATGAGAACTTGCAGAAAGCAAGTCTGCTTTTACACTCAGCTTATTAAGAAGATACACTAAAAGCAGCAATAATTACAACAGGTAAGATATGAAAAGGTTTTTGAGGGGAACTTTTTTTAAAACAAGTTTCCCTCAAAAACCTTTTCATGTCTTATCTGTTGTTGTAATTATTGCTGCTTTTAGCATATCTTCATGATAAGCTGACTGGAAAATCAGACTTGCTGAACTGAAAAAGCAAATTTTCCTCAAAAACCTTTTCATGTCTTATCTGTTTCTTGAAGTGTTTCTTTAAAACTCCAGTTTATTTGTTAATGGTCTGTCATTTCAGTTCTAATAAAAGTTCAGCTCACAATAAGTAAAAGCATCTAGCAAACCATGGCTTATTGTGACTAAACTGAGTGGCTGATTCTGAAATGGGAGACCATCAATAAAATCCATTTCTATGGGTAAGAGTTGGAAAATGTTGCCAAAATAAACATATGGAATTGTCCAGTTGTTGTCCAAGACTGACTCAAAAGCAAGAAGGAAAAAAAAGATAATTTTTAAAAGTGTTAAGGGACTGTCTTCTGGGAACAGTAGATTCAAATAGCAAGGGGTACGTTCTTCAGAAAATAAAAAGGGAGTTGCTTCTATTGCTAACTTCTAAATTCAACCTTCTAAAGCAGCATTTCACAATCCAGGGCTTTACAAGTACTTCTACAGATGATGCCAGTTATACTGCAATGCATGTGGAAGGTACCTAGTCAAGAAAGACTTATCAGGTTCTATGGCAGGATCTCTACTTTTCACTAGGCAAATAATAACTCACCTTAAAAATCAATTTCTTGGTTGCTGTTTTGAGCTGTGAATGGGGGCTGGTTACAAACATTTTCATCAGGAGGTAAAATACAGATCTTTCACCAAAAACCTTCTCAGCTGCATCCTAAAAGAACACATTTGCATTGGTTATAGTCGAATTATTCTAGGTCTCATCTCAGAAACATAAAGCCCAGTAATGAAGCCTGCAAGTCTTGGTGTACTCAAGTACTGTTTTTGCAATAATCTTCCAACAATGAAATTAACACCCTTCTTTGTTTTATATCCTGAGTAGTAAATAGTATGTTCTTCTGACTGAAAAATGCTCACCAATCCATTTCAATTTGTTGATGCCTAAGTTGTCAATGTGTAGTTTGTTCATTTCATCTTCTACTATGTTGAGTTTTCCCGTGTTCATGCTTTTTATGTTCCATGTTCCCAGCTTCAAAGGTTTTTTTTTCCCTACATAGCAATATCACTGCTGCCCTATATAGAGATTCCTGCTTGCTTTAGATTTTACCAAGGAGCAAATCCTCCTCTTATGTATTGTAAACAGAAAGTTAAACAACACACAAATCTCTTTTCAAAATGATGTTTATGCAGCATTACAGAGATGGCAGAGACATAGAAGGTCAGCACAGCAAAGGGGACAGCTTACGGCTGGTGATGAATACAGAAACAGACATAAATCTAAACATCTTATATATCACTCTTACCTGTACTCTGAACCAGGAAAACTTATTTGCAGGCAGCTCAAGAGCCAGTTTGAGAATATTATAATGCAGAACAGGAGGAATTTTCTGTTGCACTCCTTTTTCAGTAAAAATACCTATGATTTGAAAAGTGTACTGTTGCTGATTGAAGTTAAGACAAAGATAAAATAACCAAACCAAACCAAATAAAAAAAGCCAAATAGCATTACACATTAAGATATTTGTGTAGCAAGATGGGCAGCATATATATTTAATAAATAAAATATTTTAGCATCACAACACTGTTATCTATCTATCTATCTATCTATCTATCTATCTATCTATCTATCTATCCATCCATCCATCCATCCATCCATCCATCCATCCATCCATCCATCCATCCATCCATCCTCTATTTCACATTTATTTACCCATACTATAGTATGACTATAGTATTATTTATTCTTCTTGTTATCTTTACTCCCCCTCTTATTGTTGTTAGTTTTTGTTCTTTTTGTTATCATTGTTGTTGTTGTTGTTGTTTTGCTTTGCATCTACCCTGAGAGCTTCTGCATTGGAGACAAATTCCTTGTGTGTCTAATCGCACTTGGCCAAATAAAGTATTCAATTCAATTCAATAAAGTATTCAATTTCTAGGAGTGCCTGACTTCAAAAAGATTGTGGGTGACTTATATATTTAAACAGGGAGAGTATCAAAAAATACATCACAAACAAGACATCACAAACACAATATTAAAAAAGACGTCAGTAGCCCAGACAAACAATAAACACGTACTCTTCCCTATTACACCCAGCCTAAAGGAGCTTGACAACCACCCTAATTGAAGACCTACAGGAACAGTCAGGTTTTCAAAGCTGTTTAAAATTGCTGTGGAGATGGTATTCCAAGATCCCAGTCTCTCACTCTTATTACAGTTGAATTTGAACCTGTTTCTCACCCAGCAGCCTCCAGGTGGTGGAACAAAACCTGTAATCAGTGTACCATAACTGAACCCCAACAGAGTATCTCGCTCAGCAGCTTCATGTGTAGAGGGGACAACCTTAAAACCCTGAGACACCCCATAAAGTAGGGGTTTGGATTTTATTTTTTCTCGTCTTCTACCAATTATCAATTGGAACTGGCTGTAGAAAAAGGAGAACCACCACAATTCCATGTCTCCTACTACCAATTTCTGTCCTCAGTCCAGAAGGATACCATAATCAATTATACTGAAAGTTACCAAGGCATCAAGGAGAGTCAGGATAGTTATACCTCTCTCATCTCAGCTTTGCATTCCCAATGCAATCAATGGCATCCTAGTGCTGTGTTTCAGCCTAAAGCATGATTGAAGGGTTTTACATTCTATATCCCCCTGTCCATTACAATACTGATGTGAATATGAATTTTAAAAGTTTGGGAAAATGAAAGGTCTTCATCTGGAACTGAAATCACTAAATCTAAGATTTCCTGGGGAGAAGAATCTAAAGTTTTAGGGCACCAAACTCAAGAATTCAATCAACATTTTTAATGCTCATCTGCATCTTTCAACTGTCCCTATCTTTAAATTATATTAACAGTTGCAATTTTAATCTGATAGCTCCAACAGATTCTCCAGACTTTTCAGCAACCTCCTAAACCTCAGTCTCCAGTAATAGATAATAATGTAATGGCTCAGGTTCAAGCTATCACAGCTCAGCTGCAGACCACGACAACACAACCATCAGAACAAAAGCATGATTTCCAAATACCAGAACCAAAAACATCTTTTGATAAGAGTATTTTTCTTTTACTTGAAAAGGAATTACCCAAATATCTTGTTCCAGGAGAAATCCATGTCAAACTGTAGTTTAGTGCCATGAGAACAAGCCTGAAGGCATCTCCTTGCATTCCCTCCTTTCATATGCATGCAAAAATTCCATCTTCCATTTCTGTCTTTTGGTAAACCATAATGTTGGGATATCTATGGAGTCTTACAGCTTTTTAGAGTGTCTGGCTATATATAAAATTGTTGCTCTTTGTGAAACAATAATACAGTCCTATGGTTCATTTTTTTTAAAAAGTGAGTCTTATTGCATTAATTGCATTAATTTCAGATGTGCATATAGCAGTCATGATGCAGATAAGCCATTGATACTCTTTAATATTTGAGGTGATACAAGCCATGATTTAGCTCCGATTAGGACTTTATCTGACCTTTGACCTAGATAACATTACTGTTCTTAAAATTGTTGAAATGTCTGGAAAAAGTAGAAGAGAGAATTAAAGCTAGTTCTGGCAGGTTTAATGGCTAGGTTAGATTTTAAACAATTAGTAATACTTAATTGAATTTCCAGTTTCAACTAAACTATTAATTTCAGCTTTGTTCTTCTAATATTAATGGACCATTTTCTAAGGTTGAGGAGGCAAGGAGAAAAGACTGTAGTACAACTGGGTTTTATGGGGCCAACCAAGGTATAGTTTGAGGATAGAGGCTGCTTCCTTAATCATACATTTGGAAAGTACTTACAAAAACTTACATCATCAGTAACATGTTTAGTTTACTGTTCTATTATTATAGAAGAAAATAGAATTGGCTCAATGTAATATGTTTCAGAAGCTGTTGGATCACTTTGACTATGATGATGAACCAGAAGCAGTAGAAGATACAAAAAAAGAAGAGGCCACACCTTCTCCTTCACTCTCTCAACCAACATTGTATGTTTTGTTTTGTTTTGACAACCATAAACAGATTTTAACATCAAGGGGATAATATAGAAATCTAAAGTTCATAGGTGATTTGCATCACTTTTTGGAATGTATTATTAGTGCTTTATACTATAATGTTTTGGTATGTAATTATCAGTTTGTTGAAAAATTGTTCCATTCCAGTTAAATATTTATACTCTTTATACTCTTTTAACTGAAATCTTAATTTTGACCAAAAACATGACAGATGCTAAAAAGCAAAATGGAAATTATAGTTAATATGGACCGGGGAATATGGAGTCAATTGAAAACTGTTCTCATGGGAAGGGAACATTGATGTTCTTTTGAACCAGCTATACAAAATATTGCATTATTGAAATCCTGTTGAATTTTTTTTTTATACCTTAGTGGATTTCCAGGTGAAGGCTTACAACCACCAGTTTATCCTCAGCTTCCAAATATAGATCAGTTTCAGCAGAGAATGCTGGGAATGCAACAGGATGCAATGCTTCACCAGGTAATGGAAACATTTCCATTAGATTAATTCTTATTTTTTCAAAATATCTATCTATCTATCTGTCCGTCCGTCCATCCATCCATCCATCCATCCATCCATCCATCCTTATATAGCGGCCCATCTAATGCAGTAGCGTAAGTACCGCATATTCATCTTGCAGGTTGCTAAAGTGCTAGACAAAACCCTCTTTTATAAATATTATTTTCAGTGTATTCTTTAGCCCATTTAGCCAGAGCATACTTAACATTACCTTTTATTAATTTGCTAAAATCAAAGTTGCTCTGTGCTACTAAGTGAGGAACAACTTGTTGATAAAGGCATATAACTTGAAGTAAAACAGCTTTCAGAAGAGTGATTTCTACATCATCCAAGCCTAGAAAAATCACAGATTGACAGATATTAAAAAAAAGAAAGAGATGCCATAAAATAAAATCCCACTTTATGATTTCAGTGATTTTTTTTTCTCTGAACATAGTACAATCTGAAAAATAGTGGCCACCAATATATGTAATTTAAAAAAGAATCAACTAACAGCATATCTAGGAAATTAAAATGATACTTCTAACAGTTTAATCCTGGCTCTTTTGGTGTTTGGAATGAACTCTACTCCCTCTTCTGGATCAGTAATCATTGCCAGCATTGTTATAGCAGTGTTTGGTGAAATCTTTTTTACAAAAGTATTGAGGCATTAAGACTTTTATGTCTAAATGAGAAGAAAAATAACACTAGCATGACTGTTTTTCTGCCAAGTCGGAATATGCAAAATGAAGAACTGTTAAGGAATATATTTCTTAAGAAACAAATGATACTTGCTTTGTACTAAATAATATGGTTTGCTATTTATTGACTTTGCATGGTTTATCAACATAGCCCCTGTGGAGTTATAAGCCATGGTTTATTAAATAGTCAATTCTATGAATCCATAAAATAGTAGTTCAATAGTGCTTTACACTATCCAGGAATTAGTGTGCAGTGTAAAGTAGGACATTAAGTTGCCTTCTGCTTGCCTTTTATAGAAAACTTCCTTAGTTGCCTTGCTGCAAGAATCTCTTCATTCAGAATTATGCACAGACTGAACTGTTAACAGTCTGTAAAACAAGGGTTTCAGAGAGGATATCTAATAATTTTATCCGATACTATTAAAATATAACTTTCACATTAAATGGAGCTTGTCGAAGATCAACTACGGGCCACCATGAATTATCAGTTTTTTTCAGTCGCTGGGTTAAAAGAACAAATCTGTAAGTACATAAAATGACCAAAGTTTCCTTACCGTGCTCTTTGTTAGTTTCATTTGTTTCCTCCATATAAGAAGCAGCTTCTGTTCCTCCCTCTTTCTGTCCCTCCTGAGCCTTACCTTGCTTCAGAAAGGACTGCCAGACGGCGATTATGTTAGTCATATCTGGTAAAAGCTAGATTTTAAAGATTATGTTGTACAAAGCAGAAGTAGAGGAGAAAAATCAGAAATCTGCATTTATGCAAAAATTTGCAGGTTATTATCTGTTTTGAATATATTAACAAAGATTATTTTTTTCCTATAAATTACTTTAATGTGTTATGATTTTTCTCCTATTCAAATTTGATTTCTTCTATTTAATTTCTTACTTGCCTGCTCTTACATTCATTCTACTGTAGCTCCCAAACAATAGCTAAAGCTTGAAGAATGGACATTTGTAGCCAGGGGATATAATGGATTCATTCATATGTGACAATTATTATACATACTTATGACAGATTTGGGACACAAGGACATATATATGTCATTAGTGTGGCAATCATCAAGGAGTACTGCAGATGCCACTAGGATAAGGGAGTCATAAAAGGGGAAACTGTACAAAGAAGAGGGAGTCAAGCTATTCTCCAAGGCGCCTGAAGGCAGGACGAGAAGCAACGGGTGGAAACTGATCAAGGAGAGAAGCAACTTAGAACTAAGGAGAAACTTCCTGACAGTTAGAACAATTAGCCAGTGGAACAACCTGCCTCCAGAAGCGGTGAATGCTCCAACACTGGAAGTTTTTAAGAAGAGACTGGACAGCCATTTGTCTGAAATGGTGTAGGGTTCCTGCCTGAGCAGGGGGTTGGACTCGATGACCTCCAAGGTTCCTTCCAACTTTTTTTATTATTATTATTATTATTATTATTATTATTATTATTATTATTATTATTATTAATATTATTATTGTCTGTTGCCCCATATTTCAGATGGCTAATTAAGAAAATGTTATTTTGCCTTGTTTACATTATTTGAAGAACTATACTTTAAAACTCGGCACTAATATAAACATGGGATTAAATTTGTGAAACATTTTTAAATATTGTTAAAACAAAAGAACGTTTACAGCTTCTTCCAAATCAATAATTAATATATAGGGCAATATACACCTAATGAGTTACCTCTAGATATTTATATCCACAGCTGCCAGAAAAAAAGGAGAAAGAATCAAGATAGAAGCATTTCTTGTTCATCAAACTGCAGGTCAAGCCTGTTTTTCATTTTTTAAAAGACTGTACCTTACTAAGCACTTCCTGGTATTGCTGAACAAATTCCTTCATGATTAGTGGAGTATAGATTTCTGACTTCTCCCATATCTTCTCATTTTGACAATAGTCTATATTTTTCTGTGCTCTTTTCAGAATAGTTGTTATAAGTGAAAAGATAGTATGCTTCACCGTTTTACTGGCTATCTAAAATTAAAACATGGAAACAATTACTTAGCTTTACCTTCATCTTGCACAATTTAACAATTTCTCTAAAGTTAACTAGTAACAACCTACAGAAACGAAGGGGAAGCAAGTCAACTATAAGTATAGGCGAGAGGAAAGAGAAAAAAAAAAGGATGCATCAAATAAATTTGAATAAAAAAAAAGAGATATAAACCCAAACTGTCTCTTTAAATAAAAAGACTTTTAAAAGTAGCATGCTCAGTCTGTTTTGACATAGGGCCTCTCTTAGGGAAATCAGTTATTACGATCCACCACCAATATGATCCAATGAAATGTTGCAATGAATTGCTGTTTAAAATTAACAGAAGATGCAAAGCAAGGAACTGGAGCCATGGGCTAAATTCGTACACTGTGCTATACCATAATGCAGTTTGTTTATGGCGTTGCTGCAATATTTGAATCAGATGGCTTATTCAATAAATCAGGTTTTAAAAGTCCTGATGCAATACGTTTGTAAAAATAATAATGGTGGGATATAAATAAAAAACAAATAAACAAAGCACGATAGGGAAAATACTGAATGAAAAAATTCATACTAACCTAAAAGCATCCATGTTCTTACACCCACAATTCTTAAGTTAAAGTGAAAATAGACTTGGGAAGAAATGGATACTATGTTGTAGACACAGATACCAAGATAATAAAAGTTTACAAAATAACAATGCTGCGGGGAGAGTATAAATTTAGTTACAAACAGAAATTGAAATGATTTACCTGTTAAATGTACCAGTAGTTCTCTGGCAATAAATGTATTTTTTAAAAACCAAGTCTGTTTTCACCTTGTTTCAAGAATTTCAGATACCACACTAGCCCATTTTATCTTGCATGCAGATTAGGCAAACAATGTGGTCTCAAGCTGCCCAAAGATCTGTATGAATCAGGATGCCCTTATTATACACAGCACTTACTGCTTTTCAGTAATGTAGCAATATACAGTGCAGGCTTCAAAAATTATTCAGAAGCCTGGACGAATGTAAAATGAGGCAATGCTTTAATGAGTCAACTTATTAAAACAGTGGTATCTTTTCAGGCTCATTTACAAACTTGCAAAAATATACAATGAACAAACAGACAAAAATCTGCATATGCCTTCTCTGACCACCCTGAAGGAGAAAGGGGGAGAATATCAGCCTGAGAACTGCATGGCTTGGTTTTCATGATGCATTTTTTTTCTTTGTTTTTCAAAATATACTGTTAGTACAGTAAGAGAGGGAAAGTAGGAGAGAAGAGAACGATCACACTTAAGAGTGTAGCATCATCAAAGCTGACACCAGCCAGAGCACAGAAGTAGTGCAAGATCAGAAGATATGGATACACTTGGCCCATGGAATCGCCAAGAGTTGAACACAACTGAATGGAAAACATCATCATCATCATCATCATCATCATCATCATGTGGACTAAATACTTACATTTAAGCCTTGGGTGAACATGACTTTGTTGCACACTGCAGGTACTGTAGTCACTTTCACCATAGAAAGCAATTTAGGAAGTGGAATAAACTCAGTGGTTTTAAAAGCATTGGAAATGTCTGGCTGAGCCTCATAGATCTGAAATTAAAAACACAAAGCACGAATATACAAATAAACGTATAATACAGATACACAAAGCCAAGCGATGCAATGACGGCTGTAGTCAATTCAGCTGGATTCATGATGATCTAAATGCCCAATTGCAGATAAAAAGAAAAAAAAATGTAGAACTGGAAAAACTGGCAAAAGAGGTCATTACTGAAGCAGGAAAACGCTTACTAGTTTGAAGCTAATTAGGGAAGCGCACTGCTTCAAGTACAGCATTTGAAGTCCGTGTTTGCAGATCTTGCTGAAAAAACAATATTCAGCAAGATCTGCAAACATGGAATTCAAATGCTATACTTCCCTTGCACTAAAAACCAACCTAGGCCTACATGCCAGAGCTAAAGTAATCATCAGCAAAAATAGGCCTCAGCATTGCAGAACGCACATTGCCATTGTAATATGCCAAAACAGTACTGTATATTGCTGGTTTTTCTACTTGATATGTTGGAAGTTTATAGCAATAGCATTTATGCTTATAAACTGCCCCATAGCGCTTTACAACACTCTCTGGGCAGTTTACAATGTCAGTATATTGCCCTCCAAAACCTGGGTCCTCCTTTTACCCAGGGATGGAAGGATGGAAGGCTGAGTCCAACCTTTATGGAAGGCTTTTACTGTGTTTTAGTGATTTTTGTCGTAAGGCACTTTTGTCTGGGCCAGACAAATTTGTGATTTGATTAAAAAAAAAATCTCTCAATATGCTGCATATATATGTACTGCATATATACTGCACCTTCAGATGATCAGCAGTGAGCAGCAGCATAAAAGACAAGATAAAAAGAACAAACTCCTACAACCCCTCAATGCTTTTTAGGCATACTATAAATAAATTGTGGGGGAGGGGGCAGGGGAGAGGGATTACAGATATGAATCCTTTTCTATTAACTGTACTCTCACTTGATTTTTAAGATTTTAGTTATATCACTAGCTGTACCCAGCAACGCGTTGCTGTGGCTCAGTCTGGTTAGCGTGTGTTGCTTTAACGTCCAACAGATGGCGCTGTTTTTCAAAAAAAGCATGTTTTTACCTGTCACAGGTGTGACATCTATATAATAGTAGGTATATAAAAACACGCGCGTATTCGAATGCAACGTTGTGTCAAAATTTCAAAGCAATCGGTGAAGAACTTTCAGAGATTTAAGATTTTGAACAAACGAACATTTACATTTTTATTTATATAGAAGATTGTCACCTTTTGAAGTAAGAGAGACCTCTGTTAATGATCTTTCCCCAAACATCGTCCCTCACCTTTTATCACACTTTCCTATGTCTGTCCCTCACAAACCACATTCCCATAAAATTATAGCAACCAAAATCCACCAAGCTGGTAGGATACGCAATGGAAGGCTGATCTAATAACTTTCAGGCTGACTACATTTTCCACAAATAACTAGTGATATGTAGCACCAAATAACATACCAGCTAACTAATCTTTAGTTCAAAGGCTTACCAGTAATTCAACCTATAGAGGGGATCTGGTACAGTAATATTCAATAAACACAGGGAAAGATAATCATATATTGGCCTACTATATTTAATCATCTCTCCTAAGTTAATAGTGCACTCCTAAAGGACTGTGAGCAGATTACAGCAATTAAGCACTGAAAACATGCAAGAATACATTTAGCTGCCCACATATTACAATCCCACTTCCTGTTTATTGTTCTGGTTCTTTTCATTTCAAACTTCTGAAATGAATGAACTTCAATGCAATCTTCTCTATAGGACTGTGTTCTTAGTTCTCATTCCGTTTGATGAAAACAGTGTGCTTTTGAAACGTATTCAAAGAAAAGAGAATCTGCATGACTTTTTCATGGATTAAATGAGGCATTTTTGTAATTAAGTTAAAAGGCTGCCAAAAGGGGTTTTGTCTGTCACTATAAGTGTCATCTTTCCAGCTGTTGTATCTCGCTTCCCATACTTTGATTAAATCCCAAGAGAAAATATCACGAGGGAGTCATTCCATTGGGAAGTTTCAGCAGTCAGGGAAGCATCTGCAAGATGGGAAACAACAGTGATGGTCTCCACTTCCTTCAACAATTAAAGTTTAAAAACACCACAGAAAGAAATTATGCAACTGTTGGCATAGCGTGGCTTATCCATGCATTACTGGTAGCTAGGCGGGATTATTATAATAGACTGTACAAGGACTCACTTTTAAAGTTAATTTGTAAAACTCAGCAGATGCTGTACTATATTTGAGGGGGCTCACTTATTAAATCACATGAAGCCTATATTATATCAATTGCATTGGTATTTCCAAGCCTAACTGATATTTTAATAGGCTGAATACATGATTACTAGATACGACTATACTGATTTGATCAGAGGTATGAATGGCACTGAGTTGGAGACCCCTCTTCTTTCCTCTTCAAAAATAAACAAAAGCTAAATAAGTATGTTTGCAATCTATTGGATTTACTGTGATTTACTCCGGGGGAGAGGAGAAACATCACTGAATTCACTGATCATTTTTTCCAGGCAGAAATTTCAACACCTAGATTATAAATAATCCCCAAAAGTTAGGAAATATAGATCTTTTTACATTTGCATTGTGATCACAATGTTAATTTGCATATTTGAAACCAATACAAGCTTACAATCCACCTCTGCACTGTTTCTTTCTTAGATTTTTATCCCGCCTTTATTACTTGTATAAGTAACTCCAGGTGGTAAACATACCTAATGCTTCTTCTTCCTCCTATTTTCCCTCAACAACAACCCTGTGAGGTTAGACTGAAACAGAGTGATTCAAAGTTGATTTGAAGTGATTCAAATTAAGGTACATTTGTTTCAATGTAGCCTTTCTCTCTGACCCTGTCCGCATAAATAATACAATATTTTTATAATTCTCACCTGTGAGAGCTGCAGTCATATAAAATCTGCAGATCAGATAAAAACTGCAGATATTATTTAGAAGAGGGGTGAGAAAAGGAGATTTTACAGGTTGAGATTTTGTCATAATAAATTATACTGTATCAAAGTAATGTGATATTTCTGAATTACATTGCCCTCAATTATTTGATGTAAATGTATGCAGGATAGAGAGCCAGTTTGGTCTAGTGGTTTAAGGCGCTGGCCTAGAAACCAGGACACTGGAATTCTAGTCCTGCCTTGGTCATTAAAGCTGGCTGGGTGATTTTGGCCTAGTCACTGTCTCTCATCCCAACTCAAGTTATTTACTCACAGTGTGTAAAATCTTGAGAGAAGCACAAGAGAGCCTTCAGGTCTGATTACTTTGCCATTTATCCATCCTTCCGCAACCCCTTAATTAAAATGAATTTCTTTCTGACTTTCCATCAAATGTAACAAGGCAAATATAGTCATGTTGACACAGAGACACTTCAATAACTGTCATTATAACAAGAGAAATGTTGATAAGGGTCATTTTCATGTACTAAATACATACTTTTCAGGTAGTTCTTACCTTTCTCAGCAATTTCATGTTGTCTAGCCATGCAGATTTTAGTCTCGGAACAAAAGAATACTGGGATTCCTTAAAGTATCTGTTCAGTAAATCTGGGCATACTTTGAAAATGTTCACCATAAGATCAGCAACCATCTCATCTTCTACAGCAGTCTTTAGACTCAGAAGAAAGCGCAGCAGAATCAAATTACCTCCTCTAACAAAACAATAGTTTGAAAGAAGCATCACTTCGATAGAATATAATAGTATGCAACCAACAATCATTGATCAGAATCTATGTTTCAAGTGCTATCAGTGGGCAGGAGTTATTTTAACTTAGCCTTTCTCATCCATTTTGGATGATGGCAAGATGGAGAACATTATAAAAAATATATATGGGGGGGGGCTGAACTTATTCAATGAAATATTTTATTTTTGTTTCTTTTTGGAGTCAGATTCACCCATTTCACGTACTGCTTTTCAAACTTTTGCCTAACAAGAAATAAAAAAAAATTAACTGCAGTGTATAAAAATGACTATAACTTTGCAATATTTCAACAGGTCAGCTACATATAATAGCAGATGATCAATCGTGCCAAACCAGAAGGAACCCTAGGTAACTAAAATTCTATTGTCAAACGCTGTGAACGGCATTCAACAAACCTCTATACTCACAAAATATTTTGAACTTTGGAATGAAAACAGAATATATTTAGAACATAATTTTGTTAGCCCTTTTATCCGAGATATGCTCTTATAAAATCTCTTAATAATACTTCAATTATTTATGCTATCATGTGACAGTTCCAATTTACATGAAGACATGCAGATTAATTAACTAAATGCTATTGGTTTAATGTGCAGACTTCAGACACTGCCCACTGTAAAATAAGAAGTTGCCAGAAAGATGCAGAAAAGGAAAAGGAAAAAGGGTCTAGCCAGATTTAATGCTTAAAAGCTGTGGATTGCTGAAGACTATATGACCAAAACCAGTTGAAGTTTTGCTTCTAGACTAGACCAAGATAAAAGTCTTGCTCTGTTCCCTCCCTTGCTCAGTTAAATTAGCACAAGATAGAATAGTCAACACTCTACCATTCACAAAAGAGGAGGCAACACTGAAGAAAATACTTCAACGATTTAGCTCCAGCCTAAATAAAACTGCAAAATATAATCGGACTTTTAACGCTGAACAACTGAATGCTTTACCTGCCAGACGTGCCAAGGCTTGGATCATAAAAGTTAATGCCATGTTTCAGAGAACAACAAAGGTTCATTAAAAATTTGTGAACCAGTTCTCTCACTAAAAGCTTTCCTGGTTCTCCACACTCTTGGGAAGCCTGCATAAAATTAACAAATTGAAGAAAAACAGTCAGCTTACCATGTTTGCTTATTCAGTATTTTCAGAGCACAAAGTAGAAGATCTCAGATTCCACTCTTACATGTTTCTAATGCTTCCCCAATCTGGCTGGGTAATTCTGGGTGTGCAATTTCAACATACCTGAAGGCAGCCATACTATGTCAGTCTAGCGTAGATTCGGCCTAGGCGTATAAGGCTGGCTGCTCACGCTGGAGCGTTGAAACTGGATACCATTTCCTCAAAAATAGCCCAGATTGCTATTCCTAATATGGCAAAATATTTTCTATCTTAGTGGGCAAACTATGGGCTTGGTATGGCTTTTCACTTTTCTCCTTGAGTGGTGGCATGTAACAACATGTTTTTGTACATCTTGAACAGTATTTAGATATAAGAAAAAGATGGAGAGAAGATTATTATACCTTGACATCTACTGTGCTGACATCAGTAATTCCATTCCAGCGATAGAGTGAAGCAATGTGGTTCAGTATTTCTGAGGTAAAAAAGTGTACCTTCTGGGTCTTACTGATATCTTTGTTGAGAACCACCTACAAATAACACAACATATTAACACAATCATTCAAAAATTCTTAAGCCGGGTCATAAGTGTGCTGTTATATCTATGGAAACTGTCAAAAGGATCATAAGCAATTCTAATGCCACTGTTGCATTCATTTGCAACTTTAATTTTTTGTTTACATATAAACATAAGCTACTTTAAAGCATAAGCAAACCAAGCAAAAAGCTCTACCCCAGAAATGCTGATAAGTTCTTAAGTACAGCAAAATAAAATGGTAATCAGAGATTGTCTGAAAAACCACAATGGAGATATTTCAACAATCAAAGAACATATAAAAAACAAAGCTGTTTGCAGAATATACCTTAGTTTCCAATGTTGAAAGCAGAAGGTTAATTGTGGAAATTCTATCTTCTTTTAACCCTGTTCTAATAATATCTGGAATGAAATCTAAAAAACATTTAAAAAGAATAACATTAAGGCTGAAATACAGAAAATATTTTAATTGAATCAATTCCACAGTTATATAAGAATATATTATGTTGACAACATAAACCAAACTTAGAAGATTCAAAAACAGTGAACATATAACACAGCAAAAAAAAAGTTAATGTTGTGAAATAATTCCATAGTGTCTTACAGAAATATTTATGATTCTTGGGCAAGTGCTTGCTTAGCCCTTAGCACACTCTCTGGTTAAAGGAATTCTATTATTTTTTTATTAAATGGCATCAGTGCTTTACCCTGAATCTCAAGCTTATCACTTTAATAACAACAGAGGCTTTCCAAAGTTTTTCAATTATATGCCTCAAAAACTAAATGGTTTTTGTTTTGGCTGGAAAACAAAACAAGAACACATGGAAACAAGCAATGATTGTTCAAAACCTTGGTCTAGACATCATGAAACCCATTATATATATATACTTCCCACATCATTCATACAACAAATATACTTGTAAAATACCTTTTAACTCCAGAACCTGCACAAGGATTGAGTGGTCGCCAGCAATTAAAAAGGAAACGGCGTATTGAATGTATGCTGTACGGATATCAGGCTTACCCTAAACAAATATTAAAAGATGTTCAGTATATATGAGAAGCCTAACATCCATTAGATTACAATGGCTTAAAAATGGATCCTACATAAATGTTTGCAGACCTAAGCATATCTATTGCACATTTTATAAAGTAAAGTCCCTTAACTTTGTTGTTTTGTACTTACCAGGATCTTACATCTGTATGATCTAAAATCATGGTCTTAGCAGTGAGCCATAATAGTTTAGATAGGTAAACGTTTCTACTATTTTGGTTGCCTATTATGCTTTTTTGACTATTATACTTGCATAAAACTCAAATAACACAACTCCCAAGAATCACATGTATTAAATCAACCTTCTCTAGTTACCTGTCATTCAAATATGTTAGACTGCAATACTCATAACCTTCAATCAAGATGGCCAAAGTTTGGGGACACCCAATTTAGAACAAAATTTTGCCTGCATATAGAAAACTAGCATATCAAAAATCTAATTAAGCTTTTTTTCTAAAAGTGATAGCTTTTTTCAGCAGTATTTTACTTCAAATGTGTGCTTCTCCAGACAAGCATTGCATTTTTCAGAAATCTGTTGTGTACTTTTTCTCAAAATCTGAATGTACAGACTGAATTTACATATGTCCATTGATTTGTTGTGAATTTACATATGTCCATCATGACTTTGCTTCGTTATCTTTTTATTTTAAAAGGCTTTTATATGAACTAGGGTCCCTGCATTAAAAAAGAAAAAATAAATTGTAGCTGCCAATTTTTTTTAAACAAGGAGGCTATTTTGTACAAATGCTATATGAATGTACTAAATTATGTGGAGGACGACAAGTTCCTTTTATATGAGCTGCATATGGTTTACTATGATTTTTTTTAAAAATAAACAGTATTAGTCTCATCAATAAAAATAAGAGCTTTTCTTTTAACTCCAGTTTTACTTTGAAAATAAAAGGAAAAAGCATAAGCCATCAGTTAACCCTCATGACTGACTTTTTGCTTTCTTACCTTATAGTCTCTCTTCTTCACTAAATTAGGTAAAAATTTATTATTGAAATCAAAGTGGCTATAGACATCTCTTGCAGCATCTGGTCCCTGTGTCACCATTGCTGATAGCAAAGTTAGACACAGACGAGACAGTCTGTAAAGAGAGACAGTCAGAACAGGGAGAAGTGTTTAAGCAAAGTATAGGCAAAGAAATGAATGAAAAATTAAAAAGTGAGGACGCCTTTGAAATGAAAGTGTTTGTTCATTTTAGTTAGCAAAGGAAGCAGATCTCCAGTATCACATAGTCAATCTAAACACAAGTACTTTAATTTATTGTGCAATAAAGTTTTAATCTTCTCATGCTGCTAATAAGACCATAAGTCGAAATAAGCATTACAATTCAAAATTTTGTAGAGCCATAAAAAAAATTCTACATCATTTTTGGCCACAAAAATTTCAAGGGAGCTTAATCACAGCAAACTGGATCTCTGTTACTTTATATGTATAAATGTAGGCATATACTAACTACAAAAAGCCATAAAAATATTTCCTTATACAGAGTTCATGCTGTATATGATGGAAATGCATTGGTCAGTTATATGCCCAGATTAAATAATAACATAGGAGAGTGATATCTCTCCAACAACTTTGCTGAAGTTAATATTCACTTACTAGGTAAATGAACTTGTATATTTATCTTCTATATTTAAAATATGCCCCAAATATTTTAACAGTATGGATGGATGCATGGATGGATGGATGGATGGATGGATGGAATGAAGGTATCTTAACTTTTCCTAAAGCTTTCATAGTAGATCAAACAGATTTGATAAAAGCTCTTCAGGGCTGAAATTTGAAAAAGCCCAGTACTTTATGGAACAGCACCCATAATTGCCACATTCAACAATCCTGTCAGATTTTTTTTTCTTTTTTTCATGAATATAGTGCTGCCTCGCAAATGTGTGTGGCGTGTGTAGATGCGTGTATTTGTGTATGTGTGTGTGAGAGAGAGAGAGAGAGATTGTAAAAAAGTAAGTAAAGATTTATGAATGAACATTGTAGTCTAAATATTTTTCTGATTAAAACTCATTAAATTCTGATTTCAAAACAGACCCTACCATATGAAAATGACAAGGCAGAACACAGCAGATTTTTGGAGTAACACTATTTGCAGTTCTACAAACGCTGCACCATCTGGGTTTTATAATTTCAGGAAAAATAATTTGAGACCAGATGAACATTGGAAATATGAAACTATATATTTAAATGTATTCTTTAATCTAGTTTTTTTAATTTATGGAGAATAAAGCAATTATCAATGTACCACAGAGCAAAATAAAGGAGTTTACGTACAAATAAAATGTAATAGAGAAACACAAGGGAGTTAAAAAATATTATTCTAGTCTCCAAGTTCAACACAGGATTACAATATAGAATGTAACCACAGTTTTTCTATGAGGTAGTTTTAAATCAGTATTAAAGAGTGTTTTGTTATTTCTGGTAACAGAGCATAAACACAGTACTGAGCAATGAAAATTTTATTCCACTTGTGGTTCTAAACAAAGGTTTGTTTTAAACAAGGAACTTACCTATGAGTTTCAGCATATAAGGCAGCATAAATTAATTTCATGTAACTGTTAATTAACTTCTTTACTATATTCATCCCCACAACACGAAAATGAGACAGATCACTTGCTGTCCGCAGCAAAATGTTTTCTAGAGCTTGAAAAATGAGCAGCATCTGCAAAATTTCAAACATCCCAACATACTGTCTTTTTAAAATACAAATGGAACTGAGCACTCTAAACAAAGTTTATGCCAACAGAAAGAAAGCTTTGCAGTGTTCTTGCAAAAACCCTCTGCTGCTAAATTAAATTATACCCAGACAAGGCTTTGGATTGCAACAACATGATCCTAATGAACATTTCCGCATGGTCAAAGCTTTAGTTACTAATTACTATTATGTTTTTGTTTAAAAGGCATATGGGAAACCTATGTGCCTATTTTGTTTAATTCTATCAACTCTTTAAATATCTTATCAAATAGGGATAGTGTAAAATCTCCAATTGAAGTGAACTTGAGGACAGCCTGATGAACAGTCAACCTAATCCTCATTTTTAAAGGGAATCCTTCTAAGATGGTTTTTTAGCATTAGAAAAAAGTATGGAAAGTGTTTGTCCAGTCAGTGGACAGGATGACCACTTGTTCTACACTTGTATCACTTCAGCTTCAGATCAAGCTGTTTATCCTTTAAATACTTTATGTGTGATTATGACTATTTTTTCCCTCTTATGCACAGGTGTCAAACTCGCTGCGTCATGTGACGTGTCACGACATATCGTGACTTTTTCGCATTGCTGGAGCTGGGATAGGCATGGCCTCTGCATGATGCAACCGGCCCATGGGCTGGCAGTTGGACACCTCTGCTCTTATGGATCAAATGACCCAGTAGAAAAAAAGTTTTGTGTTCCTGGTCTAGAACATAAAGGATAGTCGTATCTTTTATATTACAAAAAGGATGCCGATAGAATACTCACAGGACAAATACTCATCCTTGGCAACTTCTTTGCCATACATGAAGAACTCTGCTACCTCATTTAGAACACACATTTATATTTAGTCAATATCTACTTTAGGTCCAGTCCAGTACCAAAAGTATAATATCCCATCTCTAATCCAAAGGTATACTGCTATTTACAACACTTTATTGCAAGGACAGGAATATGGGACAAGCCTAACCAACATGGCCAATGGGAATTACAGTCCAACAAGACTTGGCTGCATTGCCCATCTCTGAATTAAAGTATCTCTGCATGAGCATCCCAGCACTGTAGGAAACAGCTAGGAAATTCATTATTCTACAACATTGCCCAAGAGTTTTAGAAAGGATTGCGCAGAATAAATTACTACAATCTTATACTTATTCAGAAACAAGATTCACTAAGGGTTTACTCCCTAGCAAGTGTAAGAGTGCCAAGACACTTTTAAATGAATAATCACAAATGGCATACAGCAGAATTAAGTGTTCATTCTTAATAGCATAAAGACAATACCTAAGAGGAGCCTGTGACAGCTCTCATCAATTGAAACACTGACCTCACTTTCAGGACGCCTTTCACCATCCAGAAGTTTAAAAATTTCTACACATTCAATAGAAACTTTTATGTATCCTTCCACTACATCATACTGCTCATTTGATGGTAGTAATTTAGCTTTGGCTATGAACGTTTCCAAACCTGGAACAAAACATACATTTGATTCTTCTTTCAAATCATGCTGGACATGTTATTCTTTACTTCACACAAACTCTAATTGGCATGCCTAATAGGCATTTCGATTTTATTTGAATAGCAATTTGCATTTCAAACTCCCAAAGTATTAACTGCCTCATTTTTCCATAGCAGAGCTGGAAAGTGAATTTACTTTCTTTCTTTATTGCTATCAATATTTTACCAATATAGCTTTTAGGAAACAAGTTGTGAAAAAAAGACCCTCAAATGGAGAGGTTGACAAAATAAATGCAACAGTAGGAACAAAAGAGGAAAAGTTGGCAATTTGTATTAAAATAATGTAGGAGCATGCTACGATACCAATGATGGCAGCTGAAAAATCTATCACAGCTACAGAGTAATTAACTATATCTATTGAAGACTGCCTGCCTTCCAATAAATGTAACCTTCCCGCCCCCCACACGCTTCCTTTTATAATTCCTTTTATCAATTGTAACTCGCAATGGCAGCTGTCTATATACGAAGAATTCATTAATCCTTTTCCTCGGGACGGAAGGAGACAGAATCCATTTTAAGTTTGCCTCTTCCTCCCGGACACCACGTTGTTGTCCGAGACGCATTTGTTACAGGCAACTTAATCTGCATTAACTATTAAACTACTGTTCGCATGTTTAGCAATATGCAGCTGTGGCGACCGCGCAGCTCTTTGCCGCCGCGGAGAGATCCACTCGACTGAATCCGACCCGCACGCGGGTCCCATGAGAGCGGCGTGGCTGGCTGGCTGCCTGACCTTTCATCGCAGTGCTGGAGTCGCGGAGGAGGAATTTGAACTGGGCGCCGGTAAATTCCGCGGCCTCGGTGCCGCGAACCCGCTTGGCCGGGGGCGGGTCCTGCCGCTTGGCCGAGGTCGAGCTTTTGCGCTTGGTGGCCATATCCAGAAGCAATCGCGGTTTGCCGCGACACCCGGCGGAACGAAGAGAAGCCGGGCTCACCCTGGCGGGGGTTGCCCGTCTCGGCCGGAAGTGGTCCGGTTCACTTATTCTCCCCCCATCCGCGAAATTACAACAGACGGGTTCCTAAAGCAGGCAGTCAGTCAGTCAGTCAGTCTGAGCTCTGTGGGGCAGTGGCGGAGGCCAGGGTCCGCCTCGTTGCCCAGAGGAGCAAAAGAAGACGTGATTCATTGCGGTTTCAATATGTAAGATTAAATGTTCGCAAGCTGATTTTTTTTCTACTTCTGCACCCATTAAGTCAAACCTGTATGTCTAAGAAAAAAACTACTTTTAGTTCCGTTGGACTTTTAAATGAACAAACAAGTTATATGCTAGTTCAGTGTTTCTCAACCTTGACAATTTTAAGGCATGTGGACTTCAACTCCCAGAATTCCACAGCCAGCATTGCTGGCTGTGGAATTCTGGGAGTTGAAGTCCACATGCCTTAAAATTGTCAAGGTTGAGAAACACTGTGCTAGTTATACTGGGAGGGAATCAAATATCTTCATTTAAAACAATATTCTCAGCGGTTAGGGTTGGCTGGTTGGGAATCCTGGGAATTGAAGTCCACACATCTTAAAGTTGACAAACTGAAAATAACGCTAAAGTGTAATCAAGTACAGACAAATTCAGAGTTCAGAATTATCTATTTATAATGGCTATCTGAAAAACCTAAAAAATAAGTTCCAGATACTTACCCCATTGTACTGAAGTAACTATATACTGTATAATAGTACAAATTCACATATTGATAGGTTTCATGTGATGTGCATTCTGACATAAGGCAATGGTCAAACCTAATGGTTAACTCTTACTGCACAGATTAATGGTTTTTATCACATTTATTTTATGAAACAATATGTAACTGAAATATTTCTATCAGTAATATTCCAAGCTTATTTATCTCAGTAAATGGATTCACTTTTATTAGAATAATTCAATCTTACGTTTAATGTCTCACTGATTTAAGTGGCACTACTATTCTTTGTTTGGCACAACACATTGTGAGAAATGCAGGTAGTCCTCAACTTATGAACATAATTGAGCCCAAAATTTCTGTTGCTAAGCAAGACAGTTGTTAAGCAAATTTTGCCCCATTTTTATGACCTTTCTTGCCATTATTAAATGAATTACTGCAGTTAAGTTAGTATCACAGTTGTTAAGTGAATCTGGCTTCCCTGTTGATTGCTTGGCAAAAGGTCACAAAAAATTATCACATGGCCCTGGGACACTGCAACCGTCATAAATATGAGCCAGTTGCCAAGCATCTGAATTTTGATCATGTGACCACAGGGAGATGGTTGGCATACAAACTAAGAAAACAGACAGAAAAGAAGATGAAAACCAAGCTTCAAGAGGGGAATAAGACTTACATGGATAACAAAAACATTTCAACACTTTTTTGGAATTATTATACTAATTTATTTAAAGAACAAGGAATCTCTTTAGATACTATGGAGGAATATATAACAACTAAAAATCTTCCTAAACTATCAGAAAACTACAAGCAAATTTTGAACAGTTCAATAACAACTTTTGAAATAATAGAAGCAATTAAAAGAGCTAAAACAGGGAAAGCCCCAGGATCAGATGGCCTATCGAGTGGATTCTATAAAATTTTCAAAGATGAAGGACTTAATGAATTCTATTTTACAGGGGAACCCTATTCCAGACTCTTGGAAAGATGCCTACATTTCTTTAATACCCAAGATGGGCTGGATTTAACTTCTGTGAAGAACTACAGGCCAATATCTTTATTAAGGACTACAAACTCTTTACATCTATCTTAGCTGAAAGACTTAAAAATTTTTTACAGGATTATATACATGAAGACCAATGTGGCTTCTTGCCTAAAAGACAACTAAAATATAATGTAAGAGTAATTTGGAATATAATTGAATTTTTACAACAACATAGCAACAAACTGGTTGCATTAATCCAGACATGTCAAACTCGCGACATCATGTGACATCGCGCAACGTATCGGGACCGTTTTGCCATTGCTGACAATGGGGTGGGCGCGGCTTCTGCATGGCACATCTGGCCCACTGGCCGGCAGTTTGACACCCCTGCATTAATCTTTCTGGATGCAAAAAGAGCTTTTGACAATTTGAACTGGGTCGTTATGTTTAAAGTAGTAGAAAAGATGGGTTTTGGATTGGACTTTATACAGGGTCTGAAGTCCATCTATACCAGGGGTGTTAAACTGCTGGCCCGCGGGCCGGTTTCATCATACCGAAGCCGTGCCCACCCCATTGTCATCAATGCAAAAAGAGTCGCGACATGTCACATCATGTGATGTGGCGGGTTTTACACCCATGATCTATACACTACATAAAGCTCAAATCATGGTGAATGGAGACTTTACAAAACCATGTGATTTCCAGAAGGGAACAAGACAGGTGTCCTTTATAGTCTATTATTTAGTCTAGTGTTGGAACTGTTAAGTAGACATATTAGACATAATAGCAGAGCAAAAGGACCACGTTAAAGCACATAATTACAAAATTACATGCATTTGCTGACAATTTGGTATTGATTGTGCAAGAACTGCTAGAGAACATTGAACATGTTATGAGGAAGATTAAAATGTTTGGAGAAATGGCAGGTTTAAGAATAAATAAAGACAATACTAAGAATATAAAGTTGGAAGATCGGAAGAAATTGGAATTTAAAATTGCTTTTAAAGTTGTGAAAAAGGTACAGTACTTGGCAGTGACTCTTACTGAGGAAAATCCTAAGCTTTACAAAAATAATTACGGTAAAATGTGGGAGCAGGTTCATTTTATCATATGTGGTGGCCTTGCAAATATGTGAAAACATACTGAATAAACAACAATGACAATGCAAAAAATATTTAAGATACAAATATTAATGAAAATTGAAGCTTTTCTTTTAGATATTATGGACAAGTCAATTGAAAAACAATTTGGGGTGCTATTCCTTCACATGGTGACAGCTGCGAGGATTGTACTGCCAAACACTAGAAAGAAAAAGAAATGCCGACTGTTGAATGGATTTTGAAATGGACTGAATTGGCAGAGATGGCAAAATTAACTGCTTTGATTAGAGATAATGGAATAGACAGCTTTATAAGAGACAGGAAATCATTTGTGGACTTTCTATGTGCTAAATATAATAACAGATGGTTAACAGAGGGATCCTACATGTTTAATTGACCACTTTTCCCTGTTTTTTTGTACACTATTTTTTCTTTTGTTGTTGTTGTTAGGGTTGAATGTATGCTTTTGTTTCATTTTGTTTGTTTTACTGTTTTGTATTTTATTTTCTATGATAAAACAATACTTTTTAAAAAAAAAATAAGTCATTTTAGTGCCATTATAATTTTAAACAGTCACTAAATGAACTGTTGTAAGTCGAGGACCTGTAGTCATTATGTTTGCAAGCCATTGTTATAGGCTAGTGGGAACCTAATCGTATTCTATTCAATTATGACTTAGCAAAAAAAAATTCCTTAGAATGATACTTCTACAAGAACTTGGTTACTGATCAAATACCGAAAGCAGTTGAGATATCTGGCCTTATTGTATTGGGTGGAAAATTTAAATTTGATTTTTATTTTCACGGAAAATGATGTTCTTAATTCTTATTTGAAAATAGCTGGTAACAATTTTCTGAAAAACATGAGCTCATAATGGAATCATTATCAATCAGTTATTGTACTGTTCAGAGAATATACAGTATTAAAAAGGTTGGCTCGCATTTTTATGCTGCAAAGGTAATAAATTTGAGTAATTATGGCACATATGGACTTGTCTACTTGTAATTCCATACTGGTTAGATATTATACTATGGTAAATTAGATCCTTCAGTTAAGGATTAAATATGTCAATATTTTGTTCAATTATATCTCCAAAATCTAGAATCTTTCAGTCTAGGAAGAACTTTGGCTATATCATGCTTGGACTGTAGCAAAAATTTGAGTGTATACTCATGGAAGAAAGTCCATATTCCTGATTTGAAATGATGGCTTAATTAAATGTGTCAACTCTCAAAACTTTGAATTAGCTTTGTATTGATAGAGAAGCAAGACAGGACAATATGATATTGTATGGTCTAGAATCAATTTATTGTTTATAAAAATTGTAGCACAACTACAAAAAGAATTGAAGAAAGGCAGATATTCTTAGTAGATTGATAGCTATGTATCTACACATATATAGGCATTTATCTTTAAATGTATGTGGGTGTGGGTGTGTGAATATATAGAGATAAATATTTGGGTGTTTATCACCTTTATTTTTCAGTTTAGTGTACAGTTTTCTATTTTGTTTGTTTAGATATTTTAATATAGTATTTCTATTTTTTCTTCATTTTGTTTTATAATAGATATCTACTCGGTAATGTACAGCATGATTTCCATGGAAATCCTGAAACTTAGAAAAATTTATATAATGGAAGAAACAGTTTGTCTCTAATACCTTTGTCTATTTTTAACATATTATCTAACTTTCCCTGAGTCATCACAAAATAATATAAGCAGTTTGCTGTTCTTATTGCCAATTCCTATTAATTAATTCATTTTATGCAGTAAATTTGTCTCTTTGGTTTGTAGGCCTTTTTCCGTGGCCTCTAGGTAGCTTAATAAAAGCATAATAAGAAAAGAAGTACAACCTCAGAAAATAGTTGTACTGCTATTTGGTTAATTGAGGTTCTCCCAATAGTCCTGTGGAAGAACAGTCTAAATGTTAACAGGCTAAGTTCTGGTCTTTCTGGATAACCTTTTCCAGAATGAGAAGACTATACAGAGAAAGTCTTCCTCCTAGCTCCCATTCCCTTGGTATCTGGGATGGAACTTCAGAGTTCCCTCCCACCTAAGCATGTATTAGATGGCAAACTCCATCTAGATTCTAGAGCAATGGCATAATCTTGGCCCAAAGTAGAACTAGCTTTAAAGAAAATAAAAAGTATCATGAATTACACATC